TGCCTATAATCCCAGTGCTTTGGGAGGCCAGGTGGGAGGATTGCTTGAGGCTGGGAGTTCAAGATCAGCCTGGGCAACATCATGAGACCACACCTCTACAAAAAATAAAAATAAAAAATTAGCCTGGTGTGGTGGCACATGCCTGTAGTCTTAGCTATTCTGGAGCTGAGAAAAGAGGATCATTTGAACCTAGGAATTTGAGGCTGCAGTAAGCTATGATTGTGCCACTGCACTCCAGCCTGGGTGACAGACTGAAACCCTCCTAAAAAAGAAAAAAAAAAAAAGAAAAAGTCAGAGGTAGGGAGGAAGGAAACAGAACTGATACTTTCCTAATACTTTTTTTTCCTCTCTGTAGGCAGGGATTAAGCAATTGCCTGCCAGATTTCATCATTACAATGAATGTAACTCTGACACTTTACAGGAAACTTATCATTTCTTTCCATTCCAGAAACTTGTGATACTTTCTCACTACATGGTGTAAACAGCTGAGTCAAGTTGTCCTTGAGAGTAGCCACCTTTCCCTCAGGTCATACACATGGAACCATTCTTTCTCCCTACAACTCAGCCCATTATAGAGCCTTTGACTGAAAATCAAGATTTTGGTGTTCGCTTGGCAATATTTACTACGAGGTAAATGACACAAGGTAGGTGACACAAAGGTATATTTGGGAAATGGAAGGCTCATCTCTGTCTGAAAATGTTGCAAGGAAACTTTATGGACCACTATACACATTGTATCTCCAAATTTAAAATGAAAGAAACTATGGTTTTAGCATTATTTAAACTTCTCTTCAAAAGGAGATCTAAGGAATGGCACTACTCTATATTTGAACAGTTAACGTAGTTTGTGGTGCGGCTCACATTCTCCTGGTAGAAGGAATTGGAAATCTGAGTAAAGAGGTTCCCAGAGCTGAATTTCACCCAGTACCCAGTTTAGGAATCAAGTTTTGCTTATGAGGTCAAAATGAGAACCCTTTAAAGGAGGGTAACAATTGTTGAAAGTAAGAAGGACGTTAAATACAGCTTGTTTGGGTTAGTTTTCCTTAAAAACCATATATGTATATTACTGAATAACAGGAGTATTTTGGCTTGTAAAAACTTTTCAAATTATCATTCATGCAGCAAGAAATATTTTATGCTTGCTATGTATGCCTACTACTTGTTCAGGGAATGTAGATAAGCATTATTACATAATGTCAGGTACTTAAAATGGCTAAGAAATTATTTTACTGGATACCTTTTCATTTATGACATTCTTCTGATTTTTTGTTGTTAAATATATTTAGTTAAAGCACAGGAGGGACTGGAATTAATGAGGAAGAAACATTGATCACTGCAGCTCATTCAGAATGGGGTAGATAGTATGAAACTTTGAATCTAAAAGCTGGGAGATTTCCAAGAACAGTAATCTGGATTTATTCAACTTTATATCTCAAGCTCCTGCTGCATAGTGGGTGTCCAATTTAATGCTGAATATGAGAAAATTAAGTCTCTGGAGTCCCAGATGGATAATTTTTCTGAATATTTAATGCTGAGCTTAAGGGCCACTTCCACCAGAAAGCCCTCTGTGGCTATCTAGAAAGTTGATTAAGACCATCCTATATGTGCCCATCTTAGTCCGTTTTCTGTTGCTTATAACAGAATACCTGAAACTGGGTAATGTATAAAGAAAAAGAATTTATTTCTTACAGCGTGGGGCTGAGAAGTCCATGGTCGAGGGGCTGCATCTGATGAGGGCCTTCTTTCTGGTGGCGACTCTGCAGCGTCCCAAGGCAGTGTAGGACATTATATGGCGAGGAACTGAGCATGCTGGCACAGGTCTTTCTTCCTCTTGTAAAGCCACCAGTCCCACTCCTATGATAACCCATGAGTCCTTTAATCCATGAATGAATTAAGCCATTCATGAGGGCAGAACTTTCATGACCCAACCACCTCTTAAAGTCCCCACTTCTTAATACTGCCTTATTGGGGATTAAGTTTCAGCCTGAGTTTTGGAAAGGACAAACATTCAAACCACAGCAATTCTTAAATCATCTTAGCTGGCTGCAGCAGTTGTCGATTGACTATTTTAATGGACAGTAAGGATCAACTCTGGTACTGAGAGAGGACTATGATTCCAGCTGGGTCAAAATGGAAACATTCTTTCATTGCTTGTTTTCACAACTAATCCGCTATTGGGGAAAGTGCTGTGTCACATACTCAAATAAACCGAGTTAAATGCCTTAGAATTGACCTTCCCTGGCCAGTAACCCTTTCCAGGGTTCCCAAATTAGGCTTGGAAACTACTATAGAAGAGGCCTATTGATAACGGAAGAAGTTATATTTTTAGGTTGCCAGAGACAGAGTGAGAGTAGGTAAGAGAAACGACCAATTCTACCAGTCATTCTACAATGTGGGTTTTCTCTGCTCTGTTCACATGCCTTATTCAGACTTCTTGTGGTGGTCAATTGCTAGATGGTCTGTTGGAATTATCTGCTGTCATATATCCAAAGAGGTCTCAAAGAGAGTTAAAATGACAACCTTAGCCTTTATAAACGTTCCAATCTGTTGTAGTTGCAGTAACCTGTGGTAATGATACTACATTGATCAATGACCTCTCTAGAGCTAAAGTTCAGTATAAGTCAGTCATTTATTTTGGATATATCAGGTGATTAATTGCTACATCATTCAGCGTATGGAGCTAATGTTAACAGCTTTCCATGGGAAAAATTACTCACAGGGCTTACTTTTAAAATCACTTTCTTTCTTTCATTTTGTCATCTAAAACAAATTCCTTGAAAAGGCCAGTGTCCAAAGTGGCTGCTATTACTTTTCAGCTGACTATAGAGCTTCAAATCTGGGTGACAGTGAAACTGTGTGGATGGGCTTTTTTTGTTTTTGTTGCCAAATACCTTTTTAATGTGTCTGGTTCTAGAGATGGATACACTAGTGAACATCACAAACACAAACAGTTGATTGGAGAAGACAACATAGCATATTAAACGTTAGTAAAAATGAGGAAATTACACAGTGCTATGAACTATCCTCATTCTTTTTTCCAACAAGTATTTACTGCATACTCACTTTATGACAGACATCATTCTAAGTGCTCAGGATAAAACAAAGTGCATGTTCTCATGGAGTTCATTTCTCTATATAACTGGTTAACCTGAGGTCTGATTCTTCATTCCAAGATAGCTGGAGTGAAAGATTAGCATGAGGTAAAGAAATAGAGGGTAAATAAGAAAATGCTCTCTGCGGGTTATTAAAAAATATAGAGGCAAAGTCCTGGGGAAAGAACAGAGAAAGAGAGCGAGAAACAGGGTGAAAGGGAGAAGGAGGAAGAGAGAGTCAACATCTTTATGAAGGACTTTATTATTCCATTTCTTAAGCATTATTCCTGCTTCTTAAGACACATTGTGTATAAGCCATCTCTGTATCCCAACTAATGCAATGCCTGTGGGGGTATTGTCAAATCCAGATTTATATGACCAGATTTTTCACTTACTAATTTCTGGGACCCTAGGCAATTACTAGAATGTCTTGAAGACCTAATTTCCTGCAGCACTACCTCATAGAGTTGCTTTTAAAAAGTATTGATAGCTTACAGACGGTACTATTATAAGTGCTTCAAATATATAAACTCAATCCTCATAAAGATTCTGAGGTAGGTATTACTAGCCTCATTTCATGTAAGAACAAACTGAGGCACAAAGAGGTCATATAGCTTGTTAACGGTTGTATAGCTAGTGTCTGGCAAAACCAGGAATCTTAACTTCATTTCCAGAGTCTGTGGTTTAACCACTGTTTACACTGACTGTCTATAATAGCATATAGTAAGATAAGATTAGAACTAAATAGGGTGCATTCCACTGCAAAGTTCTTTCTCACCTCCTTCTACTCCATTATTTGTTGAATATTTACTGATCCCCATGTTGTCTTGCAACTGTGATAGATAATAGAGAACAAGGGTGAACACAGCATATCTGGTTCTTGCTCTCCTGGAGGTTCTGGCCATTAAGCAAATAACAATTCCTCTCAAGGTTCTCAGGCTTCCCTGTTTTCTCCTGTTTCCCTGTCTGCCCAGCAGTACTCCAGCCAACCAATCTAAGACTGACAAGCGTCAGCAGAGAACAGGGTCTCCAGGAGGTCTGTGGCGAGGGCCAGGCTATTTATGGGGAAGAGACAGACATTTCCCTGGTTTAGTGATCTTGTTTTCTCTCCGAACCTCCGCTTAAAATGGCGGGATTTGTACCAAGGTTCTTTACCGCACTAACCTTCCGTTATTCACCCTTCTTCCCACCCCCAACGCCCGTCGGGCCTATCCCTGACCCGCGTTCCAGCACTTGAGGTGCATTTCCGCACCTGGATCCCTAGATACTGTTTTTCCCCGCGTTGAGACTTCCGAATTCCACCAGGTCTCTCTCTCGCGGTCTCTGTCCCGCCCCTCGCACCCAGGCCCCGCGCCCGCGGTGGGCTGCCGCCCGGGACCGAAGCTCTCAGAGCCCGCAGCCCTGGTTCACCAACCGCTGGGCGGGAGCCAGGCCCGACCTTTGACTGGCGGGCGGGGTGGTCTGCACTTGGCCCCAGAAAAAGTCTGGCACTGGCCAATCGCAGGGAGGCAAAGGGTAGCTCTGGAGGTCCCGGCCAGACGCATTGGTCACCCAGGCCAAGCAGGCGTCGGGGCCTGGGCACAGGCAGAGCTCGCGGCCCCGACTGCGGCCATTGTGCTTGGCTGCCTCTCCTCAACGCCTGGTGGGCTGGGCAGAAATGGGAGAAGCGCCGAGAGCGCCACTGAAACGACTTTCCCCTACTCTCAGATACTGTGCTTTCATGTAGTGAAAGAGACAGGGTAAAGGTTTGGGTTCTTTCTGCTGCATAGGAAGAGGACAAGAAACGAAAAGAGTGGGGGTGGGAGGCAGAAGCCGCGAGCCTCTGCGCGCGCCCGGTCACGTGGGCCGCAGGGACCGCATGGCGGCGGCCTGCGCGCCCCCGCGTTCCTGCCGGCCAGGCTGACCGGGCGCGCGCGCCGACGGGGCGGGCGCATGCGCAAGGGGGCGCGCCGCCTCTGCCCCGCGGCGAGGGTGTCTATGGAGAGGCGGCGGCCGCGGCTGCTGAGGCGGAGGCTGAGGCAGTGGCGATGGCGCCCTTCCCTGAAGAAGTGGACGTCTTCACCGCCCCACACTGGCGGATGAAGCAGCTGGTGGGGCTCTACTGCGACAAGGTAACGGAGCGCCGAGCCTCCTGCTGTGGGCGGTGCGGGCGGCGATGGGGAGCTGGCTGGGTTACTGGGGCGGCCTGGCCTGTGCCGCGCCCGCAGCCCCGTGCCGTCGCCGCGCGAGTAGCCGCCTGCGCAGCTGTCAGCGCTGCCCGTTCCCGCAGCCTCCCCGCCCGCTGCGGGGCCCTCGCAGAGCCGGCCTCCCCGCCTGGCCGCCGCCTCGGACGTGCTCTCGGGGCGGGCGGCGTCCCCTGCCGAGGGCCTGGCGCCTGAGGAGGGGCGCTGCCGGGGTCACTGGCCGCCCTCGCGCCGGCCCCACCGCCGCCCTGGGCCTCCCGCTGCTGCCTCTAAGGAGAGCGGCCCTACCTCCCCGAAGCCCTGGGTGCCCCGGCCGGCCACCTGCGGTGGACTCCCATCCGCACCGAGCAGTTGTTCCCGTTCTCCGTCACTCCCCCGGGCCTGTTCGGGGCTCTCCGTGCAGACACCCACCCATCCTCTGAACCTCTCGCTGGCTTCCTGGCTGGAACTGCGGCGTCTCCCAGCTACCGGGTTCCTTTTACCACCAGCTTTTTTCACTGGTTTGATTTGGGGGAAAAGCCAAGTTTAGAACTGAAGAACCTTCACTCTTCATATGTCGTTATCGTTTTCTTTGCAACTTTTATTGCCTTGACCACTTACTAGATGTAGATTTTGTTATAAGACAGCAATTCTTGGAATTCTTTACATAAGCTCGAATAAAGGGGGCCTCGGGAAAAGTTGGTTTAACTGTGAGAACCATTTTGGGCTCATAATTGGTGCAGCATAAGCTGAAGAGGCACTTTTGTGGAGATGATTCAGGGCCCTTTGCTAATGATTTTAAAACAATATTTAACATTCCACATATTTGTCAGTTTATGTTGGGGAAAGTCACATGGATATCTGCAAACCTCAGGCAGTCCCGTTTCTTGTGGAAATGATCCAACTGCATAAAGCATTCAAATGACTACTGTTTAAGCATAGAAATCAACTTTTAGGAATTCTCAGAAATTGCATAGCATTATGCAGAACCACTGTCTACAGAAAAGAGGGGTGTTTCATAGTTAAGCCAGGCGATTGGAGAATGCCCAGGGTGTTCACTGCTAGGCCACACTCAAGACCAGCAATTTAAAGCAGTGACGTTGAATTTCAAATCTTAGCACTCCATCTTCTCCCTCCCTCCATTCTGAAAATTTAGAAATACCCAGTTCACACGTAGTTGGAAACACCAGGACTGTCTAGGACAGTGGTTTGCAACCTCGGATGCTTATTAGCCTTAACCTAAAAACTATTAGAAATCCTGATGTTTATGTGACTAAAATTAGGATTTCACCCAGACATCAGTTATAGATGATTAAAGCTCTCCAGTTGAGTGCAGTATGCAGCTGAGGGTGAGAACCACTTATCTAGGAGAAGCATGAGGAATGGTTAAGCCATTAATGGAAAGGGTATATCCCTGAATTTTTTAGTTAGCAGTATTGTTGTGTTTTTATCCTCTCTGGCTTTTGAATTTGGTTCTTTCAGACAACATTCTTTAATAGCAGGAAAGAAAAAAATTGGTCTCAAAAATCGAAAGTGAAAGTTGAGACTAACAGAATCCAAGTTTTCTCTCCAGTTTAAACTGTGGAGAGGTAGCCTACGATCAACTGAAATTATATGGAGAATTTTGTGCATGTGCCCATTTTCCTAGGGGGTTTGTAGCTTTCATCGATTTCCAGATGATTGTGACCTCCCAAAATAATCACAATTTAATTTACTTGCAGACTAGGCTCACCAGCCTTATTTTAAAATTTTCAACAAGTTAGTCACTCTTTTTCTGTGTCTCTTCCTGGTGGTTGAGAATATTTGAACAAATTTTGAAAATGCAGTTGCTTTTTTACAAAATATCTGAGTCAAGTAAGATTCTTTTCAGTAATGTTCCTATTTGCATAACTAGTTTAATAAAGCATTTTCAATTTGACATAGTGTAAGTCAAAATTATTACTAATTCTGAATTAATTAGATATAGTTAATGAGATTGTTGTATATGTTTATGGAGAAGATTAAAAGTCCAATTTTCTGAACTGAGACCGAGGAGATTTAGGGAAAAAAAAAACTGCATAGGAATTTTACATCCAGATTTCTTCTTGATAATGATAGCCAATGGAAATCTCTCTTAGGATGTCCTTTGGGAGCTAGAGTGGAAAATAATTATTTTGTAATGGCTCAGTAATCTTAAAGGAATTAAAGGAAGAGTACCTTGTTTGTTTTTATTCATTTATCATCTCACGTTTTGCCATTATCCTTTGGTTGTATAGACCAAGGATATCCCATTGAACACAGTTTACAATAAAACTATACAAAATGAGAACTAGTTTTTATGCTCAAACCAAAAAGGTACAAAATAGTTATTTCACTGTACTGTAGTCCAAATTTGGGCTCTGAATGCCCAGTTATTATAAAGAAGTCAGTTACTATTTTCAATACTGAACTTCTCAAGTACAATGTATTTTAGAAGCATCCATTTATTTGCTAGCATCAAGTAAACCACTTATATGCTTAAACTAGTTAGTATAATGTGTTCCAAAGTTATCTTAGTCTACTTATTTTTTAGGTAGAAAGTTGAATAGGATGAGAAAATAAAACAAATTTTCAAAAGCTGACAGATGTATGTCTTAGACCATTTTAAATATTGCTGTCTAATACCTGATTTAATACTTTGCCCATAGATTTCTTTTTACATTTGTAAAAAGTTTTATGGAAAGGATTTTCACCTTTGTTATCCAGACAACAGTGCTTTGAGTTATGTAAAGACAAAGTATTTCTGTTTTATTGCTGGGGACTTACAGGCCTAGATTAGCTAGGCCAAGGTTACATAAGCAGCCAGTGGTAGATCCGGATGGAAACCCAAGTCATTGTTAGGATTCCTAGTTTAATTTTCTTTATATTAAATCATAGTAGTTAATTTTTTGGGGAACAATGTGCTAAAAAATCTGCTAATTCACTGACCTTTCAAACTGGGATGATGTTAGTAAATATTTATATTGAATGACATCCTTTTTCCATTTTACTTCAGTTTATCAGTCTTTTCTCCAGTTCTCCAAGGTTAACGCCATTAATTCTGTCAGTGAGCATTGGAGTTTCTACCATCTACCCTGTAGTAGCTTGTACTACAGAAAGACGTTGGCAATGTGACATGTGGTCTCTACTCTCAAAAAGTTTACAGTCCAGTATGTAATAACATCTATGCTAGGATGGAAATCCAAACACGGTATAGTGGGAGCAAAGGGAGTTAGGTGGTCAGTTCCACATTAAAGTGTCAGGAGTGGTCTCTTTGAATTGATTTCTGAGGGAAGAGTAGGCTGTGGTTGTAAGGATGTGGTTAGTTCAGAGATTCCCAGGCTTATATATAAACCAGTTATTAAAAACTCAAGTAATGGAAGCCTTAAGGCGTGCCCAAATTTTTCAGGTAAGGGTATTAAAAGTGCTATTTACTTTTATTAAAGGATTTAATATATTTATACATTTATTTATACATATAGGACATTTTGTCACCCAAAACTCTAAGGTGGGAAGAAACGTAGAGTAATTTGAATATATTCTTTTTTTTTAAAAATAAGTGAGTATAACTTTATGGTCAGTTTTCCTTCCCCACCTCCCGGCCCCCCACCCCTTTTTCTGCATACCTGTAACAATTTATTGACTGGCATTTGAGAAGATTGGCTTAGTGGAGAAAATATTGAATTGAGAGCTGTGGAAGAAGTAAAAGGGAATTTAATGAGTTCTTACTACATGTCTACATTGTTTCTTTTAATCTTCACAAGAACTACGTAAGACAAATACTATCCTTCATTTAAAGTTGAGGAAACAGCTTTAGTGGTTAAGTAACTTACCCAACTCATTCAACTAGTAATTAGTAGAGCCTCAATTTTAATCTTAGGATTTTTTTTCCCCTTCAGAAGCCCATGGGTTTTGCATTACCTTACTAGTTCGGCTACTTATTGGGAGCTCTATGATTTTTATGCAGAACAGTTTACCTGTGGGTCATTTTTTCCATCTGTAAATTTGATCAGATACTTACTAAGGTTTCTTCACTAAGTATAAGTCTCCCTTGATTAAAGTAAAGCATTGTCTGAGTGAGTAGACAAAGTAAAAATGTATTTGGGTGAATAATATTGGTGTTTTTGTTATGCCATTTTTTTTTTTTTTTTTTGAGACAGAGTCTCGCTCTGTCGCCCAGGCTGAGTGCAGTGGCCGGATCTAAGCTCACTGCAAGCTCCGCCTCCCGGGTTTCCGCCATTCTCCTGCCTCAGCCTCCAGAGTAGTTGGGACTACAGGAGCCCGCCACCTCGCCCGGCTAGTTTTCTGTATTTTTTAGTAGAGACGGGGTTTCACCGGGTTAGCCAGGATGGTCTCGATTTCCTGACCTCGTGATCCACCCATCTCGGCCTCCCAAAGTGCTGGGATTACAGGCTTGAGCCACCGCTCCTGGCTGCCATTTTCTTATCTATTTTTGAATGTGCTGTATTGTCTTTAAGTGACATACCACTTTTGAGAATCAGTTTGAAACCAGGCTGTAATACTTGATTTATCACTGTAGAATGTTTGAGACAGAAAGTCAGTTATAGGTTGGGCGCAGTGGCTTATGCCTGTATCCCAGCACTTTGGGAGGCCAGGGCAGGTGGATCATGAAGTCAGGAGTTCAAGACCAGCCTGGCCAGAATGGTGAAACCTCGTCTCTACAAAAAATACAAAAATTAGCCGGGCGTGGTGGCGGGGTCCTGTAATCCCAGCTACAGGGGAGGCTAAGGCAGAATTGCTGGAATCCAGGAGGCAGAGATTGCAGCGAGCTGAGATTATGCCATTGCAATCCAACCTGGGCGACAGAGCAAGACGCTGTCTCAAAAAAAAAAAAAAAAAAAAAAAATCAGTTATAAATCCTTTTAAAATGTGGAAGGTACCATATTACTATTTGTTAATTATGTGTGTCCTTTTATATATGTAAGTTCTTT